AAGAGAGAGAGAGAGAGAGAGAGAGAGAGAGAGAGAGAGAGAGAGAGAGAGAGAGAGAGAGAGAGATTTTTTTCTTTCGAAAGCGGTGTAAAATTTTTGTGGGACAGTTTCCCTGTACACCGTGACCTTTGATGTCGATTTGTGAACTTTGACCTGACCTTTTGCGTGCTGCGCTTGCATGTCTGACTTCTTGGTTGCCCTGCCTGCCTGCCTGCCTGGTGTGTGTAAACTTGACCTCGTCTGCTGTCACAGATAATCTAAAACGAGAGAGTGTCCGAAGTCCATTCTGGAACGCCTTTTCTCTTTCTTTTATTTACAAATGAACGCTTTCTTAGAATTCTACGTCTAGATCTAGCTCTGCCTTTAGCATTTGAACAAGTGAAGGTGGGCGTGGTCTGAGTGAGAAGCGTTCGGGGCAGATCTTTGTCGTTAGTTAGATGACAAATACGTTGCCGAGTGTTAAAAAGTTAGTGTAATCTTGCCTGCCAAGGCTACCGTTAGTGTTCGAGTGTGAATCGAACTCGGGGCTAGATATGTTTCATAACATAACAATCTAATGTGTCGATGTCTACTGAGACATTATCGGACAAAAGTCACTCATAAAACTGTGGGGTAGATCTTGCGACCTCAGTAGTCACAGCTGGTGCACGGTTGCGCTTGACATCTGTCATCGGTACACAGACTTGCACTGGACTGGATTAGATCAACAGAAGACCATCGATTTCAGTGCTGATTCAGACATCACATCCATCAACAACTTCCCAAGTTCCAGATCATCATGGCAGTCTCAGATGAAACATTACGTGACGGTAATTGTTGAGTTATTATATTATAAGTTTGTGTGCTTAAAATTAAAACAGACTAGACTTCTAGATTATATAGATCTAGATTCTAGATTTAGATTCTAGATCTAGATCTAGATCTAGATCTAGATCTAGATTATCTAACAGTTGGTTAGAGTCAAGAGAATTTTTATTAAAATCATTATTGTTTGGAAATCATCTATCCTACTTTAACCTGAGTACAGGACCTGTCTTGGCTATGTACGTATGTATATAAAATCTATGCGGTATGGTGCAATGGCACAATATCCACTATCCACTCGGTGGCTGCTTGAAAATCTTTCTCGCACAATGTCTCAGCGAGCTATAGATCAAACTTAAGCTTTTCACCTCTTTGCTCCCTCCGATCCATCCCAACTGTTACGTTCTTGGCTATGCTTATAGCTTGACGAATAATTATAAAACGTGCTCACAAACAAACACAAGACCTCAGTGAGAATGAGTAGTAACGGAAGTTGTCCTTTATTACCAAAAAGGTCACGTTACGGCCTTGAGCCGTTATAACATAGCTGGTCAGTTAAGTCCAAGCTATTGATGTACACACATGACACCAACTCCCCGCCCTTGCCCTGTAGATTTCAAGCAATATTTGGATAGAAATCCTCTACAATTCACAATGTGTGATTCGGAAATATATATTAAAATAAAACATAGCTTTGTAATTCAGTATCAATTTTCGCTCCCCGTGTGAATCCGAATTAAATATAAATTTGTTGCTTTTTAAAACTATGAAAATGCAATTATTTTTAAACCATGGTCAATTTAAAAAAAAAGAATTAAATTTCTAAGTTGGCTGGAGAAGCTATAAAAGG